GGCCCAACGTATACATAAATAAACTCAACAAATGAAATATTGATTTTGAAATGTGAACTTGTTATGGGGTGCAGCTGGTGACAGCCAGCACCCACTGACAGTGGGCAAATGAAATGTGGCTGTGTCCCCTACCCTCTGTCCTGAAGATGGGTCCTAACAGCAATGGAGTGTTAATTCCATCCTCAGCCACTCTCCCACTCCTGCCCCCTCCCCCCCCCCGTTTCCCTCCTGCCCATCTGTGACTCACCTATCATCTATGAGGGGATGGTATTGCATTGTTGTGTAACCACTCCCCTCACAAGCCCCTTTAAAAGGCCTGTGAAGCAGGGACTCACTCTCTGGTTAGGTTCTCTGTTGCTCTGGCACCTTGACTCGTGGCTGACCCAGGACAGTTCATCCCCTGAGCAAGGTCCCTGTGTACTGTTTAGATGGGACAATGGATATAGCAGTGTTATTTCTGGTCTCTGTACTATCAGGAGTTCCAGGAGAGATGAGGCCTGGCAGTAGTGTAATGCAGGCAGAGAAGCCAGGGAAAGGTGTGTGTCTGCAGCTTCCTAAGTGTGTCCAGGTTATTCATTGCATGTCTCCTAGGATAGCTCATATTGCTGGGGAAGCTGGGGCATAGGTCTTCAGCTTAACCAATGGACTTAAGGGTAGTGATCATTTGTTCCTCTTGGGGTTATGATTGGTTGGATTGTCGTATGGACTTGTGATTTGCTATGTCTAGTGTGCTCTGTTATCACCAAGCTTTGTTAATAAAGACTCCTTAGTAAACCTTAGACATGTCTGGTGTGATCTCACACCCTGTAACAAACTAAAGGTTAAGGTACCCCTAAATCTGCTTGTGAACTATTTGACTGAGGGGAAAATATCCAGTATGTGACCACTACTGGCATTATTTTTTTTTTTCACTACTGGCATTATTAACAAACAACTTTAAAATCCCAAATGCCAGCTTCAGGATATCTGTGCTTGGCAGAGCATTCTTAAACTAATCTTCACAAGACCCACTTTGACTATTTAACTGAACTTCATTGCTTTTGCTTATTACCAAAATATCTACTCACAAGACTGCTTTAATATGCAAAAGTAACCATCCTTAACTGTCTTATAGCTGAAGCAGGTTAAGAAAAATGTTCCTACTGGGCCTGGCACCATAGCCTAGTGACTAAATCCTTGCCTTGCATATACTGGGATCCCATAGGGTTGCCACTTTGTGTCCCAGCTGCTCCACTTCCCATCCAGCTCCCTGCTTGTGGCCTGTAAAAGCAGCCGAGATCAGCCTGAAGCCTTGGGACCCTGCACCCGCATGGGAGACTCAAATGAAGCTGCTGGCTCCTGGGTTTGCGTTGGTTCAGCACCAGCTGTTGTAAAAGAGTGGATGGATGATCTTCCTCTGTCTCTCCTCTGTATATCTGATTTTCTAATAAAAATAAGTAAATCTTTTTAAAAAAAAATAAGTATCTTTAAAATAAATATCTTTAAAATGAAAATCTTTAAAAAAAGATTTATTTATTTTTATTACAAAGCCAGATATTTTAATTTTTTATTTTATCATTATTATTTAATTAATTTATTTATTATTTTATTATTATTATTATTATTACCAAGCCAGCCAGGAGCCAGGAACTTCTTCCCTGTCTCCTACACAGGAGCTGCTGCGATTAGAACCGGTGCCCATATGGGATGTGTTCAAGGTGAGGACTTTAGCTGCTAGGCCACCAGGCCCAAAATAAATAAATCTTTTAAAAAAAAAAAGATCTTAGAAAAAAAAAAAGAATGGATGTAGTTCCAGAGGCAGGAGATGCAGATAGGGTACAGGGTTTTGGGATTGGAATAAAGACAATTTAGGTTTAAAATAGGTTGATTTGGGTTGCAATGGGAGGCCAGAGAACCTGTCTGTCTTAGAAATGCAGATAAGAGTCCCTAGCATATAAAAGTGAGGCAAGAGTGTTGAGTGAGGATGTGGGGTTGGGGCAGATGGAGCCTGCTGCAGTGTGGCGGCTGGGGGGCGGTGCCCCAGCCAAGCCAGACCCAATGCTGGGACTCAGGCTAAAGTCACTGCCACCAGGCCAGGCAGTGACCGAGTTCCAGGCTTTCTCCAGGCCTGAGAGATCTCTTCCCTCAGGGTAAGTACACCATGAGGGAAACTTGGGAACTGGATTAACGCAGCTCCACTTCCCATCCAGTTCCCTGCTTGTAGCCTGGGAAAGCAGTCGAGGATGGCCCAAAGCTTTGGGACCCTGCACTCGTGTGGGAGACCTGGAAGAAGTTCCTGGTTCCTGGATCCGGATCGGCGCAGCAATGGCCGTTGTGCTCACTTGGGAAGTGAATCATTGGACGTAAGATCTTTCTCTCTGTCTCTCCTCCTCTCTGTATATCTGACTTTTGCAATATAAATAAATCTTACAAAAAAAAGAATGCTTCAAATAGTGATAGATACTGATACCAATAGCTCCTCCCTGTCCTTAGTGTTACACTGTATTTAGACAGAAGTGTAAATCTGAAATATATGTCAGAAATACTCTAATGAAGCTTCAGAGGTTGGCCCAAGTGCTTGGGAGACCTGGAAGAATCGCCTGGCTTCTGGCTCCTGGCTGGCCCAGCTCCGGCCACTGTGGAATGAATCAGCAAATGGATTATCTCTCTCCTTAACTCTTTGTAAATCTGTCTCTCAAATTAAAACATCAATAGATGTTAAAAAAAAAAACTTAATGCTTCCTTAATAGAAAACATTTTAAAGGATCTGCCAGTTAATAAGTCAGCCCTATTATCCCTAAAAAAACACTTTCAAAAAATTAACAATACAGGAAGGTGCATATTCCCTGTTTATCCCATAGCCCTGTTTGGTTTTAGGTGTCTGGTTTCAAAAACCTGGTTGAGTTTCAAAGCTCACATGGGCTGGCATTGTGGTGAGCGGCCTAAGCCCAGCAGAGGATAGCCGAGTGCTTGGGACCCTGCACATACAGGAGAAACCTGCAGGAAGTCTCTAGTTTTGACTATCTGGGGAGTGAATCAGTGGATGGAAGACCCCCCCCCCCCGCCCCCCACACACCTCGCCTGTTTCTGTCTCTTTGTAACTCCACCTGTATTTTTTTTTTAAATATTTATTTATTTTGAAAGATTTATTTATTTTTATTGCAAAGTCAGATTTATAGAGAGGAGAGACACAGAGAAAGATCTTCCAACTGCTAATTCTCTCCCCAAGTGGCCAACATGGCTGGAGTGGAGCTGAACTGATCTAAAGGCAGGAGCCAAGAGATTCCTTCAGGCTTTGGGCTGTCCTCGACTGCTTTCCCAGGCCACAAGCAGGGAGCTGGATGGGAAGTGGAGCAGCTAGGACATTAATTGGTGCCTATTTGGGATCCTGGCACATGCAAGGTAAGGATGTCAGCCACTAGGTTATCGCGCTGGGCCCTGGAACTCCATCTTTTAAATAAATAAGCTCAATCTAAACAAATACCACTATAAATGTCATCAAATACCTTTTTAAGAATTATGATGAAAATGATAATTGCTGCAGGAAACTGAGAGATTATTAGACGTGAACAGCACCTAGACGCCACCAAGTTTCCTAGCTCCACTGTTGATGAAATTAAATTCTAAATGTGACCAACTTCACCAGCTGACCAAGCTAAAGGAGCTATAGCTGAATGTGAGAATATCCTTCCTGCAGCCAAGAACCGGGCTGCTTTACAAACGCAAGCATGAATTTCCCTGAGGACAATACTTAAGCAATGCCCACTGAGTGGCCAGACGTGGATCACACTGGAAACGCAGCAAGGTACCGAGGAGCAAGCCACATTTCGACGTCTCTAGCAGACTTTCTGGAGCTTCCAAAACTGGGCGCCAACATCCCATTCTTCCCTCCCAGTACCCCTCCTCACCGCGGCCTTTCGGAGGGGCTCACCGTTTGGAGGTGAAGCTCAGGCTAAAAAATAATAATGATAAATAAGATACTGAGTTTGAAATTTAGCTTCAAGAAAAAACTGTTCTGGCCACTTGTGTCCGGCGGGAACGGTTATGAAGCCTGTAAAACCTAGGGGTCGGAGGCAGTCTCCTTCCGCCATCTTAAGTACTTCAGGTGCCCAACACGGAAGGAGGTCCTTTAAGCTAGCAAGGAAAAGTCGGGGCAAAGACCCCACGCCCCTAGACAGGGCACAGGTCCTGTCCCTCAAAAAGTCGCATTTCCTAGGCCCGAAGAGACCTTACCATCTTCCAGTGACCCAGTCCTCTACCCAGTCCTCCCTCCACACTCGGACCTGGAACGGGGGTCCTCGCACACGCCAGCCCCTCCCTCTCGGGACCCCCAGACCCCTGGGGGTGGGTGGGGGTCACTCCTTGCTTACTTTTCCAGCTACCTTCTCAGAGCAGGGCAGGCCGTGCTGGCTCTGACGGGCTCAGCTCGCGGGAAGGTGTCGGTTGGAGGGTGAGTGGACGCCCGGAGGCTCCCGCCCCACAAGCAGCGGCCGTGGGGGGCTGGCCCACAATCCTCTGCGAGGGCGGGAAAGGCGCGGAGTGGAGGAGGGGGCGCCGGCGGGAAGAGGGCAGGACCTGGGGGTGCGGGGGTCGCGCACGAGGCCGTCCCTTTCCACACCCGGCCCCTGCACTGCCCCGGCTCCACTAGTTCCACTCATGCCCCATGAGTGCTTCGGCCTTTCACTCAACAGGCTGGGGGTGGAAGGAGATGTGGCGTGCAGAGCCCACCGGACCGAGTTTGTCCAGCAGTCTGCCTCCATCCACCCCCCCTTTTTTTTTTAAAACAGTCAGAATGCATGTGTGATTTGGTGAGGAAACCATACATGAGATTGGGAGGCACTGGCCGGGAAACGCTACCCCAGCCAACATCCTCCATGAGGCTTCACGTAGCAGCGAGGACCCGAACCCGCGTGCGGCCAGGCCGCGGGCCGCGTCCGCTCCGCCTTGCGCGTGACGTCACGCGGCGTCAGTCGCGGGGGGCGGGGCGTGCGTGCGTGCGTGCGTGCGCGGTTTTGGCGGTCGGGGCGTGACGGAGTCGGTTTGGAAATGCAGCGGGATCTGGTGAGCTTTCCGCTGTCCCCGGCCGTGCGCGTGAAGCTGGTGGCCGCGGGCTTCCAGACCGCGGAGGAGCTGCTGGGAGTGAAGCCCTCGGAGCTCAGCAAAGGTAACTCGGGACGCCACCGGAAAGCTGTCAGCAGCCAAGGGGCTGCTTTCTTTGGGTCCGTGCCGCCTGGGTGTTCTGAAGATGACCCCATTTCTGCTCCAAAGGACGCTTTCACGTGGGCCGTGTCCCACCGGTGCAGGAGACACCTCAGCTCTCGTGGCGAAGAGGTTCGGGGGCTTTGCGTTACTCCATTAGGAGATAATGCAATCAGAACAGGAAACCAGAAAGACTGATTTATTTTTCCCTTGCCGTTCCAAAATTCAGAGGATGAGGGTTAACTTTGAGGCAGGCTTCGTGTAGGTCGAGACCCTAAGTGAGAGAAATGTAACTCGCTGAAAACCCCCTAACCTCATATTTCACCGTACTGTGATTCCCCAGGAATGCAGAAACAAAACTGCCCATCTCGTGCAATAAATGCGCCAGGATCCGATATGGGCGCCGGTTCTAGTCCCAACAGCTCCACTTCCCATCCAGCTCCCTGCTTGTGTCCTGGGAAAGCAGTCGAGGAAGTCCCAAAGCCTTGGGACCCTGCACTCGTGTGGTGGGAGACCCGGAAAGAAGTTCTTGGCTCCTGGCTTTGGATCGGCTGCCAAAACCAGAATCCTGGAACTCCATCCTCTTGTTCCATGTGGGAGCCAATGGCCCAAGCCCTCGGTCACCTGCTGCTGCTTTCACAGGTGTGTTCCAGGATCCTGCCTTGGGAAATGGAGCACCTGAACTTCAAACAGAACTCTTGTGGGATGTTGGTATCACAAGCAGCTTGTTGGCTTACTGTGCTTCCCCCATGAAAAGAAATTTTTCTATTTGTTCCTTGGAAAAGTCTTATGAATAACCCAAGCTGGTGGGGGCATAGTGTTGTGGCACAGGTGCGTTGAGCTGCCATGTGCATTGTCAGCATCCTGTGTCAGAATGTCAGTCTGCTTTTGATCCAGCTCCCTGATATATATATTTTTTTAATCTTTATTTTGAAAGCAGAGAGTCAAAGAGATCTTCCCTGTACTCATTCATTCTTCGCGTAGCCACATTAACCAGCCGGAAACTAGGAGCCTGGAACATCATTTGATTCTCCTACATGGGTGCAAGAACCCAAGCCCTTGAACAATCCTCTGCTGCTTTCCCAGGGCTATTAGCAGGGAGCTGGAACGGAAGTGGAGCTCCCAGGACTCCAAACAGGAACTCATCTAGTGCAGGTGTTGTAAGCAGCAGTTTAACTTGCTGTGTCACAGTGCTGATCCCTGCTCTGGCTCCCTGCTGTTGTGCGTGGGAAGGTAGTAGAGGATGTCTGTGGTACTTAGGCCCCTGTCATCCACATGGGAGACCTTGATTGGATTTCAGAATGCTAACCTCAGTTTGGACCAGCCCTGGCCATTTTGGCCATTTGAGAATAAGCCAGCAGGTAAAAACCCTTTCTCCTAGTTTCTTCCTCTTTTTGTCACTCCCCTTGTTAAGGAAATAAAGCTTAAACATAATACAAGGGTAATTGCAAAAATCTTGCAAAAATGGAATTAAATAATGAGCTGGGCCTGGCACAGTAGCCTAGTGGCTAAATCCTTGCTTTGCATATGCTGGGATCCCATAGGAGTGCCAGTTCATGTCCTGGCTGCTCCATTTCCCATCCAGCTCCCTGCTTTTGGCCTGAGAAAGCAGTCAAGGATAGCCCAAAGCCTTGGGTGTATTTTTTTTTTTGGTTGTTTGGAATGTTTCTGTGCCTTTTATTTTATTCTACAATCCAGTTATATTCCATAAATTACATATTGAAATACTTGTTCCTTAGAGGACAACTTTTTTTTTTTTAAATTGCAAAGTCAGATGTATAGAGAGGAGAGACAGAGGAAGATCTTCCGTCCGATGATTCACTCCTCAAGTGACCACAGCGGCTGGAGCTGAGCCAATCTGAAGCTAGAAGCCCAGAGCTCTTCCGGGTCTCCCATGTGGGTGCAGGATCCCAAAGCTTTGGACCGTCCTCGACTGCTTTCCCAGGCCACAAGCAGGAAACTGGATGGGAAGTGGGGCCTCCAGGATTAGAACGGTGCCCATATGGGATCCTGGCGCATTCAAGGCGAGGGCTTTAACTGCTACGCTATTGCGCTGGACCTGGGAAGATTTTTTTTTTTTAATATTTATTTCTTTTTAATCGGAAGGCATATATACAGAGAGAGGGAGAGACAAAGAGGAAGAAGTGAGCCAATCTAAAGGCAGGAGCCAGGCGCTTCTTCTGGTGCTAAGGCTTTGGGCCATCCTGTACTGCGTTCCCAGGCCACAAGCAGGGAGGGATGTAAATTGGTACGCATATGGGATCCTGGGCATGCCTGGTGAACATTTAGTCACTAGCCTGTCATACTAGGCCCAATAGATACATCTTAAAAAAAAACGATTTTACCATGTAAGCTTATCCTTTAATCTCACTTCCACACTGGCTAGTTTTAAGATTTATTTATTTGCTTGAATGGCAGAATTAAGGGGAAAGAGAGAGAAGTATTATAACCATTGATGGATTCCCCAAATTGCTGCATCCAGGAGTCCCATTCTGTCCCCTCTCCCATGCATGTCTCCCCACATGGCTGTGGAGTGGGTGACCAAGCATTTGGGCCATTGTCCTCTCCCTGCCTAGGCACACTAAAGGGACCTATATCAAAAATGCCCAGCATGCTAATAAGATGTTGACACCTGCTAGCTGGGTTTAGATCACTATGACATATGACCCGTCATAATTTTTTTTTTCATTAAGATTAATTTCCTAAATGACCACAATGGCCAAAGCAGAGCCAATCTGAACCCAGGAGCCAGGAGCTTCTTCTGGGTCTCAAACATGGGTGCAGGATCTCCAGGCAAGGACTTAGCCACTAGGCTGCCACTCCAGGCCCATATATGTGCATTTTTTTTTAATATGGAATGCCTCATGAATTTGTGTGTCATCTTTGTGCTAATCTCTGTGTTGTTTCAGTTTTAGAATATGTGGTATTAAAGCGAACACCATAAATTTTTGAAATAACTTCATATATGCACATACACTTTTTCTCTCCTTAGATTTATTTATTTTTGTTGGAAAATAAGATTTATAGAGAGAAGGAAAAACAGAGAGAAAGATCTTTTGTCCACTGATTCACTCCCCAAGTGACCAGAGCTCTGGGTGTTGACCCAGAGCTGAGCCGGTCTGAAGCCAGGAATCAAGAGCTTCTTCTGGGTCTCCCATGAGGGTGCAGGGTCCCAAGGCTTTGGGCCGTCCTCGACTGCTTTCCCAGGTCACAAGTGGGGAGCTGGAAGGGAAGTGGAGCTGCCGGGAGATGAACCAGTACCCATATGGTATCCCAGTGTTTGCAAGGTGAGGATTTAGCCACTAAGCCGTCATGCCAGGCCCACTAACGCATTTCTTGAAGTTGTACTTTGTTTTAGGAAATTAAAGAAATCTTATTCGTCCTCATTGGAGGAAGTGTACGTATATTTTATGAGAATAAGTCTGTAGTGGCGTGATCAGAAATAGGATAAGACTGCATCTTACTTCTGTGTTCTTCATTGTCATTGTAATAAAGGCAGAGAGACTGTAGCAAACGCAGAGCTTCCATCCCAATGCCTGCAACAGCCGGGCCTGTGCCAGCCTGAAACAAGGAGCTGAGAACTCCATCTGCATCTCCCTGAGGGTGGCAGGGACCCAAGTACTTGACAGCACCACCACCTCCCTGTGTGCACATGGCTCAGGAGCTGGAAGAGCAAGTGGAGCCCAGATTTGAAACCAGACACACTGAAATGGAATACAGGCTTCTTAGCCACTGTGCCAAATACCCACCCATTTCTACTTCTGAGAAGTTCTTGTAGGTATTTGGATACAATTTTTTAAAATACTGGGCCCAGTATGATACCTCAATGGCTAAACCCTCACCTTGCATGTGCTGAGATCCCATTTGGGTGCCGATTCGTTTTCCGGCTGCTCCACTTCCTATTCAGCTCCCTGCTTGTGGCCTGGGAAAGCAGTGAAGGACAGCACAAAGCCTTGGGAGCTGCGCCCATGTGGGAGACCTGGAGGAGGCTCCTGGCTCCTGGCTTCAGATCAGCTCATCTCCAGCTGTTACGACCACTTGGGTAGTGAAACAGTTGATGGAAGATTCTCTTTCTCTCTGTAAATCTGACTTTCTAATAAAAATAAATAAATCTTTAAAAATAATTGTTTCTGGGCCCGGCGCGGTGGCGCAAGTGGTTAAAGGTCCTCGCCTTGCCGCCCGGGATCCCATATGGGCGCCGGTTCTAATCCCGGCAGCCCTGCTTCCCTTCCAGCTCCCTGCCTGTGGCCTGGGAAAGCAGCAGAGGACGGCCCAAAGCTTTGGGAACCTGCACCCACGTGGGAGACCCAGAAGAGGCTCCTGGCTTCGGATCGGCATAGTATCGGCCCGTTGCGCTCACTTGGGGAGTGAATCATCGGACGGAAGATCTTCCTCTCTGTCTCTCCTCTCTGTATATCTGCCTTTCCAATGAAAAAATAATAAAAATAAATCTTTAAAAAAAAAAAAAAAAAAAAAAATAATTGTTTCTGAGACAATAATTTTTTTTGTGACCACTAAGAAAAAACAAATGCCTTTATTAACATGAAAAATTAAAATAATAGTGCAGGTGTTAGTTTTGAAAAAATGTATTTGAAATGCAGAGAGAAAGAGCTATATTCTATGTGCTGGTTCACTCTACACATGGCCACGATGGCCAGGGTTGAGTCAGGTGGAAGCCAGCAGTTTCTTTCCTGTCTCCCACTTGGGCATAGGGGCCTGAACTCCTGGACCATCTTTCAGTGGTTTCCTAGATGTGTTAGCAGGGAATTTGGTTGGAAGTGGAATAACAGAGTTGCACTGGCACCCATGTGGGATTCAGGCATCACACAGACAGTGGCTTAACTTGCTATACCATAATGCTGGCACCAACGTGTCACATTTTCATATTTTCTTTCTACTCTTAACATTAGTGTTACCTGAAAATTGAAATTAGTGTCATCCGTTATCGTTAGACCATATCAAATCTCTAAAGTGGGATTTTTTTTTTCTGATTTTCATTTCAGAAGTTGGGATATCTAAAGAGGAAGCCTTAGAAACTCTGCAGATTTTAAGAAGAGAATGTCTCACAAATAAACCAAGATATGCTGGTACATCTGAGTCAGGCAAGAAGTGTACAGCGCTGGAACTTCTTGAGCAGGAGCATACCCAGAGCTTCATAATCACCTTCTGTTCAGCAGTAGATAATATTCTTGGGGGTGGAATACCCTTAATGAAAACAACGGAAATTTGTGGTGCACCAGGTGTTGGAAAAACACAGTTATGGTAAAATAAAATGTTCCCCTCTTAAAATTTTTTGTATTAATATAAAGAGCAGATTTCATGGGTACAGTTCTAAGATGATAACCATTGCTTCCCTCCCTCCGCCTCTTAAGGGTGGGCTCAGTAGCATTCTATGTGATAGTTGCTCTGTGGATTTCCTATCAGGAGACCAAAAAAGGCACGTATGTGCTCTGATGGTGTGTCTGTATCAAGCAAAAATCAGCTTACCATTTATTACCTCAGAACCCCATCTTGATAAATTCATACAACTATTTTTTTTTTAATACTTTGTGTAATACTTTGTGAATATGATCTTTAGGATAAATGTTCAGTCTTTTACTTTATTCACTTTTTAGGATATAGTTGAGTCAATTATTTAAATCAATATATAAGAATGGATCAGAGGTCTAAAAAGCTATTAAAAGGCCCATAATTACGGTTTTATAGGCACACTCTCACCCTAATCCAAGCAGCAGTTGATTTACATATGAATATATCAGGATCCATGATGAACCAGCAATCTGTTGCCTTGGAGAATATAAAAATATTTTTGTTCATTTGTTTTAGTGATACTGACTAGTCATTATCTGAGGCTGATCATGATAAAGCTCTGGCCGTTGGGCGCCTTCCTCTCTAACAGCATGCAGGCGGCAGTGGACGTGCAGATACCGGAATGTTTTGGAGGAGTGGCAGGTGAAGCAATTTTTATTGATACGGAGGGAAGTTTTATGGTTGAGAGAGTGGTAGAACTTGCTACTGCCTGCATTCAACATCTTCATTTAATAGCAGGAACACAAATGGAAGAAGGTAAGTTAGCAGAAGTGAATCTTTTTTTTTTCTGGGTAATAATGCAAAATTATTTTTATCTGTGCTGATCTCAGACCTCAGCAAGTCATTGGAACGTGAGCATGATGACTTGAGTGTATTAATGATAATCTCTCATACCTGTGTAACAAAATGAGAATGGCCATAGCCTGATCTGACCTTTTCCCCCTGCTTCTATAGTCCTTCCTTTTCTTAAAAATATGGATTTAAAAGTATTTTTTGGAAAGTCATGTATACAGAAAGGAGGAGGCGAGACAGAGAGAAAGATCTGTCCACTCCTAAAGCGGCCACAATGGCCAGAAATAAGCAGATCCAAAACCAGGAGCCAGGAGCTTCCTCTAGGTCTCCCACGCGGGTGCAGGCTCCCAAGGTTTGGGCCGTCCTTGACTGTTTTCCCAGGCCACAAGCAGGGAGCTGGAAGGGAAGTGGAGCAGCTGGGACACGAACAGAACCCACATGGGATTCCAGTGCGTTCAAGACTAGGACTTTAGCCACTAGGCTGCAGCACTGGGCCCAAAAAAGTGTGTGTTTGTTTTTTTGTTTTGGAAAGTCAGAATTACAAAGACAGAGAGAAGGATCTTTTGTGGGCTGGTTCACTGCCCAAGTAGTCACCATGGCTGGAGCTGAGCCAGTCAGGAGCCAGGAGCTTCTTATGGGTCTCCCATGTAGGTGCAGGTTCCCAGGGCTTTGGGTCATCCTTCACTGCTTTCCCAGGCCATTAACAGATAGCTGGATCAGAACTGGAGCCCATATGCTGGTGCTTGCAGGTAGAGTAGTAGCCTGTTGAGCGATTATACTGACCCTGATTGGATGTTTCAACTATTGAGCTAAAAACGTTTGTCACAACAGAGTGCCCACCGGCCAACCCAGCAGCAACATGCCCAAGTTTTACTGTGACTACTGTGACACATATCTCACCTGTGACTCTGTGAGAAAGACTGCAGCGGTAGGAAACAAAAAGAGAATGTGAAGAACTCTATCAGTAATGGATGGAAGAGTAGGCTTGGAGCCTGTTTGACAAAACAATAGGTCTGTTTCAGCAAGGAAAGATACCTCCTACTCCATTATCTGCTCCTCCTCCTGCAGGGGTGATGATACCCCCACCCCGAGGCTGCTGGGTCCTCCTTGCCTTGGCATGATGCCAACAACCCATATGAGAGGTCCTTCCATGATGCCAGTGATGGGCGCTCATTCCCCTGGGGTGAGGCCAGGGAGACCTGCTCCTGGAATGAGGCCACCTGTGGGAGGCCATACGCCAATGATGCCGGGCCCCAGGTGCTAAGACCTCCTTGCCACCCCATGATGGAGCCCACTCACCCAGGAGTGACTCGACCTGACAGATAAGGAGGGCGGGGAGGCCGCCTGGCAGTTCTGTGTTGCTTGTTCTGCTTCAGCAGGAGATCATGGGGCTGCGATTCTGGGTGTTTTCTAACAGCATGGCAAAGATGATTTAGTCCCATTTCCTATTAAGAAAGTAGTTTTGGAGGACAGAAGTAGGGTTTTAGAAAGTGGAGTTTCATTTGTATTGTAAAATGTGAAAACAAAATTGTCAGCTCTTTTAGTAAAAAAAAACCAAAAAAAACCCTTGTCATTTGACTTTAAAATGTAATTATGGGCCCATGTTGCAGTGCGTAGGATCGGGGCACTGCCGGGCACTCTGTCTCCTGTTGTAGTGTCCGTTGGAGTCTCCGCAACTCCATGCTTCTGACTCACCTTCGTACTAACGTGCCCGGGAAGGGAGCTGATGATGGGCCCATCTGCTGTGTGTGAAGCCCGGATGGAGGTCCTGGCTTTTGCCTTCAGCCCAAACCAGTCCTTGCTGTAGGGCTGTTAGGGAAGTGGACCAGTGGATAGAAGCACATGTCCTCACTTGTACTCTCTAACTTGTCCCTTCTCTGAAGCTCTTTCAAATAAATAAGTAAATCTTTAATTAAAGGAACTATGTATATGTGTGTACAAATAATTTACTTGTGAGGAAATAGGTGAAAATAAGAAGTCAGGAATTAGGAAATCCTACTCTATAGTGCTTTTGCTGTGCTTTTTCAATTGAGAGTTTTATACTGTTTTAGTTTTAAAAAGCATTGTGTAATAAACAGCATATCAAAGTAAGTAAAAGTAATTAAGATGGCTTTGTTTATTTCAGAACATCAAAAAGCTTTGGAAGATTTCACTCTTGAAAATATTCTTTCCCATATTTATTATTTTCGGTGTTGTGATTACACGGAGCTATTGGCACAAATTTATCTCCTTCCAGATTTCCTTTCAGAACACTCAAAGGTATGGGTCAAACTCCTGAAGTGTAACTGATCAGAGGTCCTTGGCAGTGTTCAAGTACGAAGGATAACTGTTAGATAGTAACACAAAATTAAAGTGAATTCAGAAAAATCTTTCCTTCTTAACCTGTAATTGTTCTATAATTATATTTATTTTGTATATATACACATATTTATTATTGTATTTTAAGAAATTCATGTGAAAATGAAATAAAAAGATAAATGTGTTTTATCTTAAAATGTTTTAAAATCCATGTGGTTGTCTTTGAATGTACATTGGCTTCATTGGCTAATTTGCCCCCTGAAAATGCTGGGATCCCATGTGGGCACTGGTTTATGAACCAGCCATTTTACTTCCCATCCAGCTCCCTGCTTGTGACCAGGGAAAACAGTCAAGGATGGTGCAAAGCCTTGGGAGCCTGCACCCGCGTGAGAGACCTGGAGGAAGCTCCTGACTTTGGATCAGCTCAACACCGACCATTGCGGTCATTGAGGGAGTGAACCAACAATTAAAAGATCTTTGTCTCTCCTTTTCTCTGTAAATCTGCCTTTCCAATAAAATAATTAAATCTTTTTAAAAATGCATTTACCATGATTTTTACAGATTTATTTATTTGAATGGCAGAGTTTTAGGCAGAAAAGGAGGGACGGGCCCGGCGCGGTGGCGCAAGTGGTTAAAGGTCCTCACCTTGCCGCCCGGGATCCCATATGGGCGCCGGTTCTAATCCCGGCAGCCCCGCTTCCCTTCCAGCTCCCTGCCTGTGGCCTGGGAAAGCAGCAGAGGACGGCCCAAAGCTTTGGGACCCTGCACCCGCGTGGGAGACCCGGAAGAGGCTCCTGGCTTCGGATCGGCATAGTATCGGCCCGTTGCGCTCACTTGGGGAGTGAATCATCGGACGGAAGATCTTCCTCTCTGTCTCTCCTCTCTGTATATCTGCCTTTCCAATGAAAAAATAATAAAAATAAATCTTTAAAAAAAAAAAAAAAAAAAAAAAAAGAAAAGGAGGGACAATGATAGAGAAGCACGGAAATCTTGCATCTGCTGGTTTTATTCCCTAGTGGCTAGGGCTGGGCTGGGCTGAAGCCAGCAGCCTGGAACTTCGTCTAGGTCTCCCATGTGGGTAGCAGGTATCCAAGTACTTGGACCATTTTCTGTTGGCATCCCAGGTGTGCCAGTAGGGAGCTGGGTCAGAAGCAGAGCAACTGAGACTTGAACCAGCGCCCACATAGGATTTTGACATTGCAGGCAGTGTCCCAACCCTGTGTACTACAATGGCAGCTCCCCCATGATTTTTTTTTCTTTTTTTTCTAACTTGAAAGAATTACAGAGAGAGGAGGGGAAAAACAAAGAGATTTTCCTATGCTGGTTTACTCCACAAATGACTGCAACAGCCAGAGCTGAACTGGTATAAAGCTGGGAGAGAGTAGCTTCTTTCTGAATCACCAGGGTGAAGGGCTCAAGGCCTTGGGCCATCTTCCACTGCTTTTCCAAGTCATTAGCAGGGAGCTAGATAAGAAGTGGAACAGCCCAGGCACGCTGGTGCTTTCAGGCGGATAAATAGCCAGTTGATCCATTCTGCTGACTGTGTTTAGGACATTTTATGTCGTTTTTAAAAAAAGATTTATTTATTTTCATTGGATATAAGCAGATATAAGAGAGTAGGAGAAACAGAGAGGAAGATCCGTTGATTCACTCCCCAAGTGGCCACAATGGCCAGAGCTGAGCCGATCCGAAGCCAGGAACTTCCTCTGGCTCTCCCACTTGGGTGCAGGGTCCTAAAGCTTTGGGCTGTCCTCGAATGCCTTCCCAGGGCACTAGCAAGGAGCTGGATGGGAAGTGGGGCCACCAAAATTAGAACTGGCACACTTATGGGATCCCAGTGCATTCAAGGCTAGGACTACAGCCGCTAGGCCACGGCGCCCGGCCCTGTGGAGGATCTGCCTTTCTGTCTCTCCTCTCCTCTGTATTTCTGACTTTGTAATAAATATACATATATTTTTTAAAAATATTTTTTTGCAATTATGTTAATTTCACTTTATAAACTGTAGAATGTCTTTGTATTGTTTTACAATGATAATCCAATAAACACCAAGTAAAACATTATAACTGCAGAGTCATAAAACTTTATATATCAATAAACCTTATTTATCACCTGTAGATAAACCTTGGTTCAAATTCAAGACATGCTAACCTCGTAGTGATTTCTGTATTATAACATTCTGTCTTGTTTATTTGCCCTTATAGTGACCATATTTTAACAGGAAAAGTGTATCAAATTTTTACAGAAAGTTTACTGTTTGAACCCCAAAGGAAAAATTTGGTATTTGACTGAGAAATTTGTTTTACCAAGACTTTACACTAACTTTCTTATCAGTGTGAAATATATCTGTGAAATCTATATAGGGACGCAATATAAGAAATTTATCATTGCTCTTATCTGTTTTAGTCATCTTTTTTTTTTTTAAGATTTATTTATTTTATTGGAAAGTCAGATATACAGAGAGGAGGAGAGACAGAGAGGAAGATCTTCCGTCCAATGATTCACTCCCCAAGTGAGCGCAATGGCCGATGCTATGCCAATCTGAAGCCAGGATCCAGGAAAATCTTCCGGGTCTCCCACATGGGTGCAGAGTCCCAAAGCTTTGGGCTGCCCTCAACTGCTTCCCCAGGCCACAGGCCAGGAGCTGGATGGAAGGTGGAGCCGCCGGGATTAGAACCGGTGCCCATATGGGATGCCGGCGCGTTCAGGGCAAGGACTTTAGTTGCTAGGCCACGCCACTGGGCCCCAGTTTTAGTCATCTTTTAAAAGTTCATAAATTGGGCCCGGCGCGGTAGCGCAGTGGCGCAGTGGTTAAGGTCCTCGCCTTGCACACCCGGGATCCCATATGGGAGCCGGTTCTATCCCGGCAGCCCTGCTTCCCTTCCATCTCCCTGCCTGTGGCCCCAGAGGGCAGACGAGGACGGCCCAAAGCTTTGGGACCCTGCACCCGCGTGGGAGACCTGGAAGTCTCCTGGCTTTGGATCGGCATAGCATCGGCCCGTTGCGCTCACTTGGGGAGTGAATCATTGGACGTAAGATCTTCCTCTCTGTCTCTCCTCTCTGTATATCCGCCTTTCCAATAAAAAAATAATAAAAATAAATCTTTAAAAAAAAAGTTCATAAATTATCAAACCAGTATTTTGACTTTTGATGATTGCTGCAGAAAGCCTGACATGGATAAGATTCATAATGATACTGTTTGGATACCACTTTTATTATTTTATTTTTAATACAAAACAATGTTATTGTCTCATCTGTGTTAGGTTCGGTTAGTGATCGTAGATGGCATTGCTTTTCCTTTTCGTCATGACCTTGACGACCTCTCTCTTCGTACTCGATTACTAAACGGCCTGTCCCAGCAAATGATCAGCCTTGCAAATAACTACAAATTAGCTGTAAGTATGACTAACCAGACTTTTATAATAAAGTCAAGGGTTTATAAGGTATTAGTGTATAGAAATGGCAAAATAGAATTCACCTAACTAAAAGGAAATAATAATCGTACAGTTTCAAATGATTTTGTTTTGGTTCTGGAAGTAATGAATATTAGTCAGAAATGTTGCATCTGTAAACATAATCAATGTCTTTTTTTTTTTTTCTTAAGAAATCTTTTTATTTATTAGAGAGAAGGATAGACAGAGAGCTGAGACTGGGGCTGAGCTGGGTTGACGTTAGGAGTCAGGAGCTCGTGCGGGGGTCCAAGCACTTGGGACATCATATGCTGCTTTCCCAGTTACATTAGCACGGAGGGGGAGCTGATCAGAAGTGGAGCAGCCCAGGACTCTAACCGGTTCATGCCACAAGTGCTAGCCCCGTTTTGTCTTTTTTTTTTTTTTCTGGTAGGACATATTTACAGAGAGAAAGCTCTTCTATTTGTGGCTGGTTCACTCCCCAAATACCTATAATAGCTGGGGCTTAGCCGCTATGAAGCCAGGAGCCTGGAGCTCTTTCAGGTCTCCCATATCAGTACAGGGTCCCATAGCTTTGGGCCATCCTTCAAATGTCTTCCCAGCTCTTAAGCAGGAAACTAGATGGGAAGTGGAGCACTGGGACACAAACTGGTGCCTATGTAGGATGTTGGCACTTATAAGTTACAAGATTAGCCAATTGAGCCATTACACTGGTTCCTAGAATATATCATTTTTTAAAGTTAGTTTTATTGGAAAGTCAGGTTTACAGAGAGGAAGATCTTCTACCTGCTGGTTCACTCCATGTGGCTGCAACAGGCAGGGCTGAACTGATCGGGGCCAGGAGCCCCTTCCAGGACTCCCATGTGGGTGCAGGGTCCCAAGGCTTTGGGCCATCCTCTCCTGCTTTCCCAAGCCACAAGCAGGGAGCTGGATGGGAAGTGGAGCTGGGACATAATCTGGTGCCCATGTGGGATCCTGGTGCATTCAAGGCAAGGACTTTGTCCCATTAGGCTACCGCACTGGGCCTAGATATGTCATTTTTTTTTTAAGTGAAACTTTTTGATGAAGAAATGCCACTTTTGGCAATTGCAGTGTTTTCTCTAAATCTACTTGATATTTTTCAGGTAAATTCTTCCAACTTACATCTTCTTTTTACTTTGAGTCTAATTACCATACAGCATATAATCACAGACTCAGATTGAAAAATTATGTTGTGTAAGCAAATTAGGTATTTTAAGATAATTCTTCTAGATTTGGAATATGCCTAGAAATGAAGAGATAGAAAGGAGTAAGATACAACTTATTATAGTTTTTTTTCCTTTTGAGAAACAGAGAGCTAGAGTGCATTTGCAAGTAAGAGAAGTCTCTCCACTGTTTCACTGCCCAATGCCCTGTGAGGCTGTAAGCCAGGAACTTACTCCAAGTTTACCATTTGTGTGGCAGGAGCTAATCCTGGCTAATTCAGTTTTAGGGCATCTTTCTGCCAGTGTGCATCCTGGGAGGCAGCAGGTGACGGCTCAAGTACTTGACCCTTGCTACCCACGAGGGAGAGATCTGGATTGAGTTCCAGGCTCCTGGTTTCCATCCGATTCGGTTCCAGCTGTTTCAATTATCTGGGTAGTGAACCAGTGAATAGAAGCTTTCTCTCTTCCTCTTTCTTTTTCACTGTCACTTTCAAATAAATAAGTAAGCATTATGAAAAGAATGCTTAATAGGCTTAAAAAGTACCTTGCTTTGAGCTTTTAGATTTTTTTACCACATACTAAAAAAAGCCTTAGTTTAAATTGCTATTATCATTCTTTTCGTTTCTACCATTGAAGAGCCTCCAGTAGAGGGCAATCAAGACTAATGGGTTGCTTAATTTCTTCCATTTTTATATAGACATATAGATTTTATTTATTTTTATTGGAAAAACAGATTTATAGAGAAAAGGAGAGACACCATATGCTGGTACACTCCTCAGACTCCTCAGATGGTTGCAATACCCAGAGCTATGGTGATCTGAAGCCAGGAGCTTCTAAGTTTCCCACAGAGGTGCAGGGTCCCAAGGGTTTGGGCCATTCTCTACTACTTTCCCAGACCACAAGCAGGGAGATGGATGGGAAGTGGAGGAGCCAGGACTAGAATTGGTACTCACATATGATCCTGGTGCTTGCAAGGCAAGGATATAGCCACTAGGTCATTGTGCCAGGCCCATTTACTTACTTATTTAATGATTTGCAAGGCAGTTAGAAATAGGGAGAGATAAAAATAGATAGTCCTTTCATCTGTTGGTTCACTCCGCAAATGACCATAAAGGCCTGAGCTGGGCTAGAATGAAGCCAGAATCCAGGAACTTTATCCAGTCCTCTACCATTTGATGCATGAGCCCAAACATTTGGGGTGTCCTCTCTGCTTTCCCAGCCGCATTAACAGAGAGCTGTATTTGAAGTAGAGCAGCCAGGACTTGAACTGGCGCCTCAATGGGATGCTGCTGCTGCTATCTTACTCTGATGCCACAATACCAACCCCTTTTTGGTTCTCCACCTCTCACTAGCATCACCAAGTGCATATATGAATTTGATAATATATTTTACAATTTTATGTTATGCATGCATGTTTTAAAAAAATTATTTTTAACAGTCAAAAACGTGTAATTATCCATTCCCATAGAGGAAAATTATTGAGGTTGGTTATTATTATTTTTGCACACTTACTTTATATATATACATTTTGGAAAAGGAGATTATATTATTCATGCTGTTTACAAAGTGGTTTTTAACTTAAAAGGTTTTGAGCATCTAGTGTAGGCATCGCCCATGTCAGCATCTGGTTCAATACCTCCCCCCGGCTTCTGGCTTGAATCCAGGTACTTTGACTTGCATTACAAACATTCCAACTCAAGTCTTTTACATTTTATTTTTATTATAGTTTAATTACATAATTATTTTAGAAATTATTTTCATTATTTTTTGAAAGATTAAAAGAGAGCTCTTCTATTTGCTGGTTCATTCCCCAAGCACTTGCAACATCCAGGATTGGGCCAGGCTGAAGTTCAGAGCCTGGAACTCAGAGCAGGTAACTGAGATCTAAATATCTGAGTAATCAGTAATCTGAGTAAGTGTGCTCATTAACAGAAAACTGGATCAAAGCAGAGCTGGTACTGCGATCTAAACCTGCTAAGAGCGGCTTCTGGTGCCCTGAGTGGTGTCTTAACTGATGTACCACATATTCCTTCAACTTCAGTTATTTTATTTGAAATGCAGAGTTATGGAGGAAGTGTGGGGAGAGAGAGAAAGAAATCTTCCATCTGCTGGTTTACTCCCCAAATGGTTGTAATGAGCAGGGCTGGGCCAGACCAAAGTCAGGAGCCAGGAACCAGGAGTTTCTTATTCTCTCAAGTACATCAGCAGGGAGCTGGATTGGAAGTGGAGAATCCAGGAATTAAACCCAAATTGAATGTTGGCATTGCAAGCAGCAGCTTTATCCAGTTGGCATTGCCTGTGGAAGTTTATCCACTCTGCCACAATACCAGCCCTCACTTCCCATTTTTATATTTGAGTGTTTATGTTTTATTTTATTATTTTTTAAAGATTTATTTTTTACTGGAAATTCAGATATATAGAGAGGAGACAAGACAGAGAGGAAGATTTTCTATCCGCTGGTTCACTCCCCAAGTGGCCGCAATGGCTGCTGCTGAGCCTCTGAAGCCAGAAGCCAGGAGCTAGGAGCCTCTTCTGGGTCTCCCACGCAGTTGCAGGGTCCCAAGGCTTGGGGCCATCTTCAACTGCTTTCCAAGGCCACAAGAAAAAAGCTGGATGGGAAGTGGGGCTGCCGGGATTAGAACTATGGGATCCCGGCGCATGCAAGGCGAGGACTTTAGCCTCTAGGCTTCCGCATGGGGCCCTAAAGAATTTTATTTTTGTTTGAAAAGTAGTGTTAGAGAAGACAGAGATCTACTGGTTCACTCTCCTGAGCCCATCCTTAGACAGGTGCCAGGAGCTTCTTCAAGGTCTCCCACAAAGATGCAAGTGCCCAAGGACTTGAGCCATTCTATGCTGCTTTCCTGGGCTGTATGCAGGGAGTTGGATCAAAATTGGAGCAGCCAGCACATGAAAAGCACCCAAAGGGATGCCAGTGCCACAGATAGCTTAGCCTACTGTGGCATGGCGCTGGCCCTAGCTTTTGTTTAAGTTACTCTCATAAAACATGTTCTACATTGTATTCTGTACACCAAAAAATAAAAATTCTTATTCTTTTCCTAACATCTTTACCAATTTTGTTTGTTACCAGCTATAAAATCTTAAACAAAATCTTGCTGACATTGTGGCACAGCAAATTAAATAAATACCTGCAGCGTGTGCTCCTATGTTAGTCCCTTGCTCCACTCTGAATCTTCGTCTCTGCTAAGGTGCTTGAGAAAACAACGGAGGGTGGGCCAAGTGCTTGGGTCCCTGCATCCATGGGAGAGACCCAGAAATTCCTGGCCTGGGCTTCTTCCTGATTCAGTCCTGGGCTGCTGATGGCCATTTGGAGGTTGAGATTGAAGCAACAGATGGAAGACACTGTCTAACTCTGTGGCTTAAATAAACAGTTTCTTTGACTATTGGTAGAATCTTTTTCTTGTTTTTAAACTTTAGTGAGGTAAAAATTGCATCCTCAGGTGCAGGCATTTGATACATCAATTTAGATGCCACTTGAAAGGCTCGCATCCCATATCAGAGTCCCTGTATTGAACTTCTAGCTCCCCTCTTTTGAGCCAGTTTCCTGTTAATGCATGCACTGGGAGTGAACAGACGATGGCCCAGCACTTGGATTCCTACCACCTAAGTAGTTCTGGGTTGTTGCTTCAGTCTTTTCCAGTCCTGGCTGATAATGTTATTTTGGGAGAAAGCCAACAAATGGAAGATACCCCTCTGTCTCTGCCTTTCAATTAAAAATGAAAGTGAGTGCCTGACACAGTGCTCAGTAAGCTAATCCTCCACCTATAAGCGCTGGCATCCAGTATGGGGGCCAGCTCATGAACTGGCTCCTCCACTTTTTCTTTTCTTTTTTTTTAAATTCAGATATACAGAGAGTAGGAGAGACAGAGAGGAAGATCTTCTGTCTGTTGATTCACTCCCCAAGTGGCTGCAATGGCAGGATCTGTGCCGATCAGAAGCCAGGAACCTCTTCCGGGTCTGCCATGCAGGTGCAGGGTCCCAAGGCTTTCCCAGGCCACAAGCAGGGATCTGGATGGGAAGCAGGCCCGCCGGGATTAGAAGCAGGGCCATAGGTATTGGAACCAGTGCTTTTATGGGATCCTGGCGCATGCAGGGCCAGGACTTTAGCCGCTAGGCTACCGTGCTGTGCTCAGCTCCACTTGAGGTACAGCTTCCAGTTAATGGCATGGAAACGCAGCACAGGATGCCCCAAACTGTGGACTCTTTATTTGTGTGACAGCTCTGGGGGGAGTACCTGGCTGTGGTTTTGCAGCAGCCCAGCTCTGGCCATTGAGCCATTTGGGGAGTGAACCAGCACATAGAAGATCTCTTTTTGTCTCTCCCTCTCTCTAATTTTGACTTTCAAGTAAAGATAAGGGCCCAACACAAAGGCTCATTTTGCTATTCTCTCTGTAAGAACCAGGATTTGATATAGGCACTAGTTCATGTCCTGGCTGCTCTGCTTCCCATCCAGCTCCCTGCTTTGGCCTGGGAAAGCAGTCAAGGATGGGTCAAAGCCCAGGGACCCTGCAACTGCATGTGAGACCTGGAAGAATCTCCTGGCTCCTGGCTTTGGATGGGCTCAGCTCTGGCCATCTCTCCTCTCTGTATATCTTAAACATTAATAAAAATAAATACATGAAAAAAATGAAGAAATAAGCCCACATGTCATAGAACTCATGGTGTGATTCTCAGAGGTTTCTGTTACAATATCAGAGTTGTATAATCTCTTTCACCATCTTATTTTAGAACATTTTTGTCCAGAAAGGAGGCCCTCACTACACAGTGACTTTTACAATATTAAAAATGTCTTGCCTCTCCGCTTTCACTTTTTAAATCTCCTGCAGATTCCTTTTATATTCAACCCCAACTTTGTGCCATACAAAGAAGGTACTAAATTTAAAGCACACATATACACAAAGTCTGTTAGCTATCATTCTTCTTTTTGCCCTTCCATTATTCCCCAGTGGCCACTAATCTGCTTTTTGTCTCTGTCAATTTGTCTGCTCTGGACACATCATCTAAATAGAATCTTACAGAACTTTTGTGTCTCTTTTTTTTTTTCACTTAGCATAATATTTTCAAAGATTCATCCACATTGCAGCCTGTATCAGTATCCTTTTTAGGGGTATAGCTTTGCAATTTTTGGATAATGCTGCATTTTGTTTATCTGTTTTTCTGGTTGAAGGACATTTGAGTAGCAGATGTATTTTTAAAGGATTTAAGTTGATAATTTTAAAGTGGTTATGAGATATTCTTTAGAAACTTATTGAAAATTCAGATATACAGAGAGGAGGAGGGACAAAGATCTTCTGTCTGTTGATTTACTCTCCAAGTAGCCACAATGGTCAATTCTGAGTTGATTCGAAGCCAGAAGCTTCTTGTGGATCTCCTACGTAGGTACAGGGTCCCAAGACCTTTGGACCATCCTTGATTGCTTTGCCAAGCCATAAGCAGGGAGTTGGATGGGAAGCACAGTCGCCAGGATATGAACCGGCACCCATATGGGGTACCAGTGCGTACAAGGCGAGGACTTTAACCACTAAGCTACTGTGCTGGGCCCAGGATATATGTGTTTTTATTGGAAAGGCAGGTTTACAAAGAGAAGGAGAGTCAGAGAGAAAGATCTTCCACCGACTGGTTCACCCCTCAAATGGCTGCAGTGACCAAACTCTTCTGAGGGCAAGAGCTTTCGCGGGGCACCCATATGAGTGCAGGGTCTCAAGGATTTGACTATCCTTTGCCGCTTTCCTTGTCCTTGAGCAGAGAGCTGTATCAGGAATGGAGCAGCTGGGACATGTCCCAATGCTTGCAGATAGAGGATTAGCTGTTGAGCCACTACCCCTGATCAAGCTTTACAAGTTGTGTGTGGCTAATGGCTATGGAATTGATCCTCTAGCAAACAGAAAGGGTGGACATATGTAAATATCCCACTGCTCAAGAGCTCATATGTTTGGTGAAATGTACAGTAAAAGAATTATTCAGTGTGTTAGAAATGCCAGTTAGTCATACATTCCAGTTAATTACCAATTTAAATTCCTGCTTAGCTTGTTCTAGGATGCCTGGTACAACATAATAAACAGAAAAGACGACATGGCACATAAGGAGAAGGAAACTGGTAGAAAAGCATGTTAGCCTTTTGCTATTTAATTGAGATCTAGATGTATCCCAGATCTTCCTCTGTGTCTTAAATTTTTTTCAGGGGCCTGGCATGTTGGCCTAGCAGCTAAAGTCCTGGCTTTGAAAGCGCTAGGATCCCATATGGGCACTAATTCTAATCCTGGTAGCCCCAGTTCCCATCCAGCTCCCTGCTTGTGGCCTGAGAAAGCAGTCAAGTATGGGACCCTGCATCGGTGTGGGAGCCCTGGAAGAAGTTCCTGGCTCCTGGCTTCCTGGCTCAGCTCTAGCCGTTGTGGCTGCTTGGGGAGTGAATCATTCATTGGACGGAAGATCTTCCGTCTCTTCTCTCTGTATATCTGACTTTGTGATAAAAATAAAAAAATCTTTAAAAAATATTTTTCAGGATGTTACCACTGAGCGGGGAACAACTAAATAGTTTCTTACAAAATGGACTTTATTTTCTTTCCCGAATAAGCACCTAAGGTTCACTTGTTTTTATTGCAAAGGCAGATTTGCAGAGAGGGAGACAGAGATCTTCCATGTGCTGGTTCGCTGCCCAAAAGTTTACAATGGCCAGAGCTGATCCTATCTGAAGCCAGGAGCGTCTAAGAACTTTTTTTCAGATCTCCCCATGGGTACAGGGATCCAAGGCCTTGAGCTAGATCAGCAGTGGAACAGCTGAGACTAGAATGAGCACCTGTCTGGGTTGCTGGAGCTTGAGGCAGAGCATTGCCTGTTCAGCCACCACACCAGCACCTGCACAAAAGTTATATGTATTGGAAGAATATTTAAGATAAACATTTGGAGAAATTTTGAGAGAAATTTTGAATTAAGAGATGTCAGATAATCTTGTATTGTCAACACTTTTGTTTTTATTACTTTTAAATTACTATCTTTAAAAAGCATGAAATATTTATTATAGATCACTGTTTGATTCAAGAATGTCAGCAATAGTTTTAGGCTTGAAAACTGAGCAAAGCAAAACCTGAGCTGTTAATGAGCCGGCTAACATAGTCATAATTTGGAATTTTTTTGACCTGATTTCTGGTTTTTGACTTTACCTAGTTCTCTTACTTAATTATGTTATGATTTTAGGTCTTGTAATTCTTTGCCTTGGGTTTTTTTTTAAGGTTTATTTTTTTGATTGGAAAGTCAGATATACAGAGAGGAGAGACAGAAAGAAAAATTTTTCAACTGCTGGTTCACTCCCCAAATGGCTTCCATGGGCGGAGCTGATCTGAAGCAAGGAGCCAGAAGCTTCTTATAGCAGCCCAAGGCTTTGGGCCATCCTCTACTCGTGTCCCAGGCTACAAGCAACGAGCTGGAAGGGAAGTGAAGCAGCTGGGATATTAGCTGGCACCCAAATGGGATCCCAGTGGTTGTAAGGCAAGGACTTTAGCCACTAGGTTCTCACATTGGGCCTTGCCTTAGATTCTTTTTTTCCCCTATAAAAATCATAAATAGTAGTGCTCTATTTGTCTCTTCCCTAAAATTCTAGGCATTAAGATATTCATGGGCCCAGCATGGTATCCTAGGGCTGGGTCCAAATCTTATTTTTTTAAAAAAAACTTTTATATTATGGGCTCGGTGTGGTAACTTCGCAGCTGAAGTCCTCACCTTGCATGAGCCAGGATCCCATATGGGTGCCAGTTCTAATCCTGGCTGTCCAGCTTCCCTTCCAGCTCCCTGCTTGTGGCCTGGGAAAGCAGTCGAGGACGGCGTAAAGTCTTGGGACCCTGCATCCGCGTGGGAGACCCGGAAGAGGTTCCTGGTTCCCGGCTCCGGATCGGCGCAGCACTGGCTGTTGCGGTCACTTGGGGAGTGAATCATTGGATGGTAGATCTTCCTCTCTGTTTCTCCTCCTCTCTGTATATCTGACTTTGTAATAAAAATAAATAAATCTTAAAAAAACCTAACTTTCTCACATTGTTTTTATAGGTAATTCTAACCAATCAGATGACAACAAAGATAGATAAAAATCAGGCCTTGCTCGTTCCTGCATTAGGTAGGTACATTAATAAAAGAAATAATTATGGTTTAAAATATTGTTCCTACTTCTTTTATTTGATCCTTGTTGGAATATTACAGACTCCTGGAGCAGAGACTGTATTTGTCTTATTCACTGATAATTCTTAGCATCAAGCACAGTGCCCTCAAATATTGATTGCTTCTTTTAATTTTTATTTACTATTATTATTTTAGATTTATTTATTTATTTAGAAAGTTAGATGGAAGAGAGGATGAAAGACAGAGAAAGCTCTTCCATTTGCTGATTCACTCCCTGAGTGTCCACAATGGTCAGAGCAGAGCCAATCTGAAGCCAGGAGCTTCCTCTGGGTCTCCCACATGAGTGCAGGGTCCCAAGGCTTTGGGCCATCCTTGACTGCTTTCCCAGGCCGCAGTCAGGGAGCTGGATGGGAAGTGGGGCTGCCAGAATTAGAACTAGTGCCCATAGGGGATCCTGGCACATGCAAGGCGAGGACTTAAGGTGCTAGGCTACCATGCCGGGCCCAAAAATTCACAGTCTTAGGAGGAAGGATGAATCTAGTTAAATACAAATAATAATACTGCAGTGAAGAGATGTATGCCTGTGCCCCTAAATTCAGTTATGATTTCATTAGAACACAATATTATGATTGATTTATAGTAAAATATTTTAAGAATGTTTTGTTAGAGATTTTGCTTTGTGTTTGAGAGTCAGAAGTATATTAGTAGATCTGGTGAAATGGATGATTGATAAGTACAGTGACTCAAATTATAATTTTCTGAAAGTAAATACAGATAATAATCTTTAGTATGTCACTAGAGAGTGAATAATTTTACTGATCTTAAGATAATACCATGGGGGCCTAATATGGTGGCCTAGTGGCTAAAGTCCTTGCCTTGAATGCACCAGGATCCCATAAGGGTGCCGGTTCTAATACTGGCAGCTCCACTTCAAATCCAGCTCCCTGCTTGTGGCCTGGGAAAGCAGTTGAGGACGGCCCACAGCCTTGGGACCTTGCATCAGTGTGGGAGACCTGGAGGAAGTTCCTGGCTCTTGGCTTCGGCTTGGCGCAGCTCAGGCTATTGTGGCTGCCTGGGGAGTAAATCTATAGACTGAAGATCTTCCTCTCTGTCTCTCCTCCTCTCTGTATATCTGACTTTGCAATAAAAACAAATAATTAAAAAAAAAAGACGATAATACCATTTCCCATAATTTTGAAACTAAGTATATTCTTGTGGTAAAATAAGGAAAGTCAAATCTAAATATGGTGTGAAGCATTCTCAGTAACTATATTCTGGTGAGGCCATAAACTGGTACTTTTTTCCGTAGGAGAAAGTTGGGGACATGCTGCTACAATACGGCTAATCTTTCATTGGGATCAAAATCGAAGGTCAGTATAGATACAAGTTAATAATTCTAAATATCAGATTAATTACACTGAGTACCTGCCAGCTTCTTAGAGCTAATCTCTTGAAGATCTACAGTGACCCATGAAGTAACACTTTGCTTGGTTGGTCTCACAGTAGCTAGAACAAACAGAAACGTATTACATGCATATTTAGCAGAGAATAGGAAATCCTTTGGAAAATGTAAATGATAGGGTGCATGCACCTGGAAGGGGTAGATGGCTTCCGAGTACCACCTTCAAAGGCTGTTGGAAATCATTTATTAGCCGTGCAGAAGGAGGTGAGTATTTTATGTTCCTGGAAGGGATTGAAAGAAAAATAAAATCAGGACAAAAGGAGTGCTTTTGAGGTTAGCTGTAGGACTAATTTATGTGGAAAATAAGATGGCTTTTCTTAGTTGCTTAATATAGTTCTGTGAAATTGTATCTTTTTTGTTGTTGTTGTTCTTTCCTATTCTGCTTTTATTGCCCAGTTGCTTACCTGCCTTTCATAAGCATTATTCTTTAAAATAAAATCGTGGCAGCAGGAAACCTTTGTACTTGTTTTTAAAGCTGCTGAGCAAGTGAACAAATCAGCTTTCATTTTCTTTAAAGTAGGCCGTTGAAGGCTCTGAGTCTTTTATGCTACACTCTAGAAATATCAGACTTCTGCCAACCTTTTTCCTTTGTGATTAATTGGCATAAGTTAGAGAACTTGGTTTGGAAATGCTCCAATACAGGGTGAAATTGAGGCAGTACGTGGGCAGAAATGGAATAAAATGTCCCTTAAATACATATGAGGGTTAATCAGTGATATGATCTGCTTTTTAATCTGCATTTTAAAAAATTCATACTCTGGCCCAGTGCGGTGGCCTACTGGCTAAAGTCCTTGCCTTAAACACACCGGCATCCCATATGGGCGCTGGTTCTAATCCTGGTTGCTCCACTTCCCATCCAGCTTTCTGCTTGTGGCCTGGGAAAGCAGTTGAGGATGGCCCAAAGCCTTGGGAACCCTGCACCCGTGTGAGAGACCCAGAGGAAGCTCCTGGCTCCTGGGTTCGGCTTGGCGCAGCACTGGCCGTTGCGGTCACTTGGGGAGTGAATCATTGGATGGAAGATCTTCCTCTCTGTCTCTCCTCCTCTCTGTATATCTGCCTTTCCAATAAAAATAAATAAATCTTTTAAAAAAATAAAGTAAAATAAAATGGGCATACTTTATGGTCAGAATAACTTATCTCATTCAATAGAATTAAAATAGTTTTGGGGGTGGGTATCTGACCCAGTGTTAAGATGTTGATGAAGAGCTGGAAATGTAGTTCAATAAGTTAAAGTGCTGCTTTCAGCGCTCTGGCATCCCCTAGAGACTAAAATCTGACTTCTGCCTGCTTTGCTTCCCACGAAGCTTCCTCTAAGGCATCTTGCAAGGCAGTGGTTGATGCCACCCAAGTGAGAAGCTCCTGGCTTTGGCCTGGGCCAGCCCTAACTGTTGTGGCTAACGGGGGAATGAACTAGCAAATGGAAGTTCTTGCTCGTTCTCTCTCTCAGTTAATGTGCCCATTAAGTAAATCTCAATCTCAATCTTTTTCTCTCTCTTTTAAAGAAATGGTTAATATGCCCATGTCCCATATTGAAGTTCTTGGGTTTGTTTCTTGGCTGTGCTTCCCAGTTCCAGCTTCCCACCAGTGCAGACCTGGAAGCAGTGATGACTCAGGCAGTTAGGTTCCTGCTGCCACCCATTTGGGAAACTTGGCTTGAGTTCCCAGCTTCAGCCTGGCCCACTCCTGGTTGCTGTGACATTTGGGAATAAACCAGCCTGTGGGAACTCTGCCTGCCTGCCTTTCTGTTTCTTTCTGCCATATATATTCTATAGTTATCTAGTTGTATGTATATACATAGTTATATGTATGTATAAACATTGCATAAAGTTTGTTCTTTATTGTTTGAAGCCAAACACCTGTAAGTTATTAAAGTTACATGTGAAGCGGCTGGCATTGTGGCACAGCCAGTTAAGCTGCCACCTGCATTGGGGAATCCCATATAAGTGCCAATTCCAGTTTCCTGCAGATGTGACTGGGAAAACAGCAGAGGCTGGCCCAGGTGCTTGGGCCCTTGTATCTACCTGAGAGACCTGGAAGAAGCTCCTGGTTCCTGACTCCAGGCTTTGGCCTGGCCCAGCGCAGGCTGCTGCAGCCTTTAGGGACTGTACCAGTGGGTAGAAGATGTTGTGTCTCTCCCTTTTCTGTAATTCTGCCTTTCAAATAAATAAAAAGCAAATGTTAAAAAAAATTTTTAAAGTTTATATGAACTCTCACATGCTTTCTAAAAATCATGTGAAAGGAGGAGAGAGATAAATTCATACTAAAAATAGTACCAGTACTTTCCATTTAAGCAGGAAAGCTAAAAACTGTGGCTAGTTAAATTTGTATTGGGAATTGAACTTAAGTGTACTAATCTCATGCTCTGGTCCCTTTCCTTTATCAGTGACACTTGGGATTTTTACCCTTTATTAATGATAGAATAATGTGCCAACAGTTAGGAAAAGAAATACTGTTGTCAGTGTCCTTATGTGAGTTTTCTTCAAATTTGCATATTCATTATATGAGGCCAAGATTGTTCAGAATTATACTACTGGTTGCCAAGAAGATCTGGTGGTAGAGTGGAGTAATGCATCAACACCCCCGCACAGTGTTTCGTATGTGTGCTCAGCTTCGGAGCACAAATTGTGCTTCTGCCTTGTTTCTTCCTGACCCAAGCGATGTGGTTCAGCCATATGTTAAGCTTCATCTCAGCTGTGGCCATGAGCCAAATGAGTTATTTTTTTTTTTTTAAGATTTGCTTATTTTTATTGGAAAGGCAGATATACAGAGAGGAGGAGGGACAGAGAGGAAGATCTTCCGTCTGCTGATTCACATCCCAAGTGGCCACGACCAGAGCTGAGCCAGTCAAAAGCCAGGAGCCTCTCCTGGGTCTCCCATGCGGATGCAGAGTTCCAGGGCTTTGAGCCAACCTCAACTGCTTTCCCAAGCCCAGGCAGCAAGCTGGATGGGAAGCAGAGCTGCTGGGACTAGAACCGTTGCCTGTATGGGATCCCGGTGTGTGCAAGGCGAGGACTTTAGCCACTAGGCTACCACATCAGGCCCCCAAATGATTTTTTGGCTTAATTCCTTGTTTAGAAAGATCTCTTGAGATACAGAATGACATATATAAATGTATTTTTGCTTAGAAATTTGCTAAAGATTTCCAACCTGTAAATTCAGTGCACCTTTAACTTTTTAAAAAAAGATTTATATTTTTTTTTTATTGCAAAGTCAGCTATACAAAGAGGAGGAGAGACAGAGAGGAAGATCTTCCATTTGATGGTTCACTCCCCAAGTGACCACAATGGCTGGAGCTGAGCCAGTCTGAAGCCAGGAACCTCTTCTGGGTCTCCCATGCAGGTGCAGGGTCCCAAAGCTCAGGGCCGTCCTTAATTGCTTCCCCAGGTCACAAGCAGGGAGCTGGATGGGAAGTGGGGCCTGCTGGGACACGAACCAACACGCATATGGGATCCTGGTGCGTGCAACCTACTAGGCCCTTCTGTTGTTTACTTTGTATAGTATAAAATACAGTTACCTGAACAGACCTTGTTCTGCACTGCACTGATTTTGGGAACACGTTTTCATTTTAAAATGATGTATGCCTTGATTATTTTTATTAATATAAGTGTATGGTATTTACTTATATTCCAATAGATTATCCTCTGAAATAACACCAAAAAAGTTATTGTAGAAAGATTACAAAAAATTGAAGACTCCTTACCTTGTAGTGACAACTATTAACTTCTTGACTTTATACAGTTTTTCTTTTCCTAAGTATATATACTTACCCATAAATGTGGGATCATCCAGCATAACATTTACTCAATGTAATACTTTCCTGCCTCATTTCATATCCCACTTTTTGTTTCAAGTATAAGTATATTATTCATAAAGTAATTTGTTTGAATCAGTCGTTCTCGTTGCTTTAAAATTATACTTGTTTAAATTCTGCTGTAATTATGTGCACTGATTATTTACATTTATACATAAAGGTATTGTTTGAGGGGAGGGCTTTTTTCCCCTTAGATATATTTCTTTCCTTTGTGTGTCCTTAAACTAAAATAATAATGATATTGAAAAACTGTTAACTTTACATTTTAAAATCATTTGAGCTAATTAACTAAAATGTGTTTTTTTTTTTTTTCTCAAAAATAGGTTGGCAACATTGTACAAATCACCGAGTCAGAAGGAAAATACAGTGCAGTTTGAAATCACAGTCAGTATTGTTTGACTAGAGTGGGATCTTGGTGTTAATGGGCAGTAATTATCCAATGAGAACATTTACAAAGAGAGCATTTACAAATTTTTCGGTTAACTTTCTGTAGGCAGTGAGCATATTTGAAGACAGCTTTTAATGCCTAGAACATTCCAAAAATAGTAGTATACACAGAATACTGTAGTCACAATTGGACTGAAACTTATACTTTGGAACAGAGGAAATATTTTTGGCTTATGTGCTCTGTGACATATGTGATCGCAGGATATTAAAGGTTTTTAAAATGGAGGTTACTGATAATTCTCAGAAAAAAAAATCAACATATCCTTGTTTTGATCTGTAGATAATATAGATATATTATAGCCAGCAAATATAGCCCACTTTGAGCTATTGATTTTTTTGTGAATTTATACCATAAATTCACACATTTTTGGCTGAAATGTATATTTCTTAGTAGTGTTAAACCATGTATATTTTTACAGCTCATTTATAAATTCATAAGGAGAAAAACAGAAAGGGAAGGAGATTCTGCAACAGAATTATTAACTCTTCTACGTTGTCCACATTAATTTGAAAAATCCTAGCTGAAAAATTTTGTTTTAGAATAATTATGAAATGTAAACTTATAATAAACTTATAAATTTTTGTTTTAGAATAGTTGTGAAATGTAAACTTACAGTATTTTCTTTTGTTCCAACAGAGGTAATTATGAAGTTTGTTAAGATTGTCCCTAATTGTTTTATTGTCCCTAATAGTATTTTATAACACACAGTATTGGCTTTATTTATCTAATATAGACCTGGCGTGGACGATCCATGAGGTTTATCCCGTTTATTCGTAGTACTTGAAAAGTTTACTGAAAACTGTAGTATCTTTCTTATTGGTTCCTTTAAAACACTTAGATGACCAATCTTTCTTTTAAATGTTTTTAAGTCATGTTTGTATGTTTTTTTCATCTTGCAGCCTCAGGGATTTAGAGATGCTGTTGCTACTGCACGTTCACTGACAACAGAAAGTTCACGCAGTTCACGGAAACGGTCACGAGAACCAGGGGAAGAACAGTAACCCAGAAGCTAATCTCAAAAAGAATGGATTGATGCTGCGAAATTCACTTTGCACAAGTAACAGACTCATTATTTTTAAATAGAAGCACATACTGTGGCATCAATGAATCAAAATTATCTAAAGTGAATGGGAAAAAGAGCAAAGAAATAGGAGTTTGAAAAGTTTTATGAAAAATAAGTTTTATAAGGCAGTGTTTTATATTTTTCTGTTGACATTTTTGGTAACAGTAGAGAAGATGTAAATATTGTATTTGGTGGCTTATTTCATTGGCTACTCTCAGTTTCTTATTCAGACCTTTTCCTTCTCTTCCTAGTTACCGAGAACATTCCAGAAAAAACTATTTTCATATTTTTGTTGTATTCTTTGTAAATGTAGACTTAATAGTTCTAAACATAAAATTACCTATTTGTAATATTGCAAAGAGAAACCAGCGCTGTCAGTGTGTCCTGTTCAGTTTTGTGGGTAGAATATTTTTTGACGCCCACAGTGATTTTAGTGGACCTCAATACAAATCTGTTAAGACGTTACTTTAATTTTTTATGTTATTTTGTAATATTAAAGAGAGAACTTTGAAAGTGTAATATAGAAGTTATTTGGAATGTATATCTTCCAGAATAGTCACATTGACAATTATTTATTTCTGCATTTTTGAAACATAGTGGAGTACATTCTAGACTTGATATTTTCTTTGGAAATGTGTTGACATTTTTTCTTTGAAAACCTTTTTTTCTGGTTAAATAAATTGAAAATTTTCAACTATTGAATGATTTTTAAATAATCTAAAAATATTTTGGGACTCTATTCTGAATTCATTCACAAGCTTTACTTTGGTTTCCTGTGGCGGTGGGAATTGGGGAATATATAAATAACTGATTATTCTGTACTGTGACAATCATATCTTTTACATTTTAGTGTTAGGCAGTATTTCTTGTCCAGTACTGAACATTAGTGTATAAATTTCTTCAATGTAACTATTCTTAATTAATTACATGTAGAATAGCCACAGTACCAAGATGTTTTGAGAGTGAAAGCAGTTTTTATGACAGTTTCAGTAGATGTAAACCAGGGTTGCCTAGGAAAATCAAACATAGGGTCATTCTAACTACATAAGAACAATTTCAGTGTAGCATGTAACAGTAGAATATAGCATGACTGATTACACCTATCTTGTGTTTGAAGACTTCAAAGAATCACTTTTTTTTTAGGTTTATTTATTTTTATTGAGAAGTCAGATTTACAGAGTAGGAGAGACAGAGGAGAAGACTGTCTGTTCACGACTTCACTCCCAAAATGGGTCTTGCTAAGCCAAACTGACACCAAGAGCATCTGTGGATACGCGGTGCCAAGACTTTGGCCATCCTCTACTATCCCAGCTCACAAGCAGGGAGCTGGATGGAAAGATTTTTCTAAAAAATAAAGTGTAACACCTGTACTTTATTTTTTTTAAGATTTATTTTTATTATTTTAAGTTAAAAGTAAGATATACTGAGAGAACTAGACAGAGAAAGATCTTCCATCTGCTGATTCATTCCCCAAGCAGCCACAACGGCCAGAGCTGCACTGATAGGAAGCCAGGAGCCCAGAGCTTCTTCTGGATCTCCCGAGCTTGTACAGGGTCCCAAGGCTTTGACCGTCCTTGACTGCTTCCTGGTCCACAAGCAGAGAGCTGGATGGGAAGTGGAGCTGCTGGTATTAGAACTGGCGCCCATATGGGATCCCAGCACTTTCAAGGCAAGGACCTTAGCCACTAGGCCACTGCGCCGGGCCCTATAAATAAATCTTTACAAAATAATAATAGTAGCAATTACAGAATGTTGAAAATAGATATGACTCAGAGTTTCTGCTTGCAACTTTCAAAATAAAAATTACGTCTGAGAATCTTCAATTTTTTATTGGTGAAAATATTTTTCTATAAAAATAATGCACATGTGGGCCTGGCCTAATGGCCCAAGTGGCTAATTCTTCCCTTGCAAGTGCCAGGATCCAGTGTGAATGTTATTCATGTCCTGGCTGCTCCACTTCCTGTCTGGCTCTCTGTTTATGGTCTGGGAAAGTGGTGGAGAATGGCTCAAAGCCTTGGAACCTCACACATGGGAGACCCAGTGAAGCTCCGGGCTTTGGATTGGCTTAGTTCTGGACATTTGAGCCACTGCGGATCGTGAGCCAGTGGGCAGATGATCTTTGTCTCCATAAATCTGCCCTTCCAATAAAAATTAAATTGTTACAAAAAAAAATACACAGTTACTATATAACTTACTCTTCTCAGGCTACCTTAATGTAATGCCACAGACTGGGTAGGTTGAACAGTCAAACTGATTTTAGATGTTACTTCTAAGACCTCATCAACTTTGATTATCTCCAAAAAGCCCGATCCACAAATATAGTAATATCTGGGGTTAAATCTTTGACATATTGACACAGTTCAATTCATAGCACCAGAGCAAACATCAACATTTTTATATATACAAACACACGCACAGATAAATTTTTAGAGACAGAGCTCCCATCCTTTGGTTCTTGCCCCCAATTCCAGAAGTTGCCAGGAGGGTGGCACCGGGAGCTGGGATTGCAGTCCAGGTCTCCCACCTGTGTTGCAGGTATCCAGTTGCTTGAATCGCTGTTGCCTCTTCCCCGGGTCAGCATTAACGGAGTGCTGGCAATCAGAAGGCATCGCAGAACCTAAACACTCCAGTGTGGGATTTAGGTATCCTGAGGTCTTGGCCACCAGGGCAAATCCCCACTCCTTTAAAACTTGCATCATTTTGTAACTTGCATTCTAATATTCTATATATCTTTATGTATTCTGTGTAACTTATCCTGTGACAGTTTTTAATGGCTGTGCATAATTTTGAAACCTTTTTGGTGTTTTATTTTTTACTATATTTTTAGTGCTATACACAATGCTTTTTTTTTTTTTTTTAATGATTTATTTACTTGACAGGCAGAATGGCAGGAGGTGGGAGGAGAGAGATCTTCCATGTTCTTGGCTCAGTCTCTAAATGTTTGCAACATCTGGGGCTGGACCAGCTGCCAAAGCCAGGAGCCAGGAAGTTCACTGGTGTCTCAGGACTTAGGTTACTTGTACTATTCATTTACTGCTTTCCCAGGCACGTTAGTAGGAAGCTGGATTAGAAATGGAATAGCTAGGACTTGATCTAGGCACTTGAATATGTGATATGAGTATCCCTAGTCAAGGCTTGATTTACTGCACCGCAACACCCAACCTAAGTAAAATCTCATATTTTTTCTTTGATTCCATTACCAAATTATTTTTCTCTCCCTCCCCTTCCTCTCCTCTCTTCTTTCTCCCACTTCTCACCCTTCCCCCTCCTTGCCTTCTCTCTTCTCATAAAATCAAAGACAGAAAGAGGGAAAGACAGCAGTAGATCTTGGATCTGCTTGTTCACTTCCCAAATGGTCAAAATGGCTAGAGTTGGGCCAAGTTGAAGCCAGTAGCTTGATTCCTGTGCGGCATTTGAGTGGCAGAGACCCAGACATTTGAGCCATGTTCCACTGCTTTCCCCAGATCATGAGCAGGGAGGTAGATTGGACGTGGGGTAGCATAGAGTTGAACCAGCACTCAGGAGGGTTGCCAGTATCACAGGTGATGGATTATCTGCTCCACCGCAAAGCAGGCTCTCTTTGCCTCCATGTTAATAAGAACACTTGTGATTCTTTTGGGGAGCCAGTCTAGTTGACATGACCTTTCCCATCATAAGGTCTTTAATCATACATACAGAATTTGCCTTTTAAAGATAAGTTTCAGGGATACGTTTATAAATACCATTGAAAAGCCATTATTTGGCTCTCTAAATAATATGGAACAAGATTAGAAACTGATCCTTGGATGCTTCATGTCCAAATTAAAATTTGAAAAGCACTGTGATAGACATGTGTTACCACTTAAAACATTTTTTATTTAAAAACTTTATTATACTATAGGTTCTCAGGATGATAAATGCATTGTATAAAACAATTTAAAATTTTTTGTTTATTTGAAAGACATCCAGTTTGATAATGCTCGCAGTAGCGAGGGCTGGACTAGGCCAAATGAAGCCAGGAGTCTGGAATCTGTGTTTCACACATGGGTGGCAAGGATCCAACCACTTGAGCCATTGCCTGCTGCCTCCCACAAGGTATCAGCAGGAAGCTGGAGTCAGGAGCAAAGCCAATAACTGAACTTGGAAACTGATAAGGAGTGCAAGGTTCTCCGGCAGTGGCTTAAGCACTTCACCAAACGCATGCACTTATGCTATCTTTTTTTTTTTTTTTAAAGATTTATTTATTTTCATTACAGTCACCTATACAGAGAGGAGGAGAGACAGAGAGGAAGATCTTCCATCTGATGATTCATTCCCCAAGTGACTGCAATGGCTGTGCTGTGCCGATCCAAAGCCAGGGGCCAGGAACTTCCTCTAGGTCTCCCACACGGGTGCAGGATCCCAATGCTTTGGGCCATCCTCCACTGCTTTCCCAGGCCACAGGCAGGGAGCTGGATGGGAAGTGGAGCTGCTGGGATTAGAACCGGCGCCCATATGGGATCCCAGTGCTTTCAAGATGAGGATGTTAGCTGCTAGGCCACTGGGCTGGGCCTGTGCTATCTTTTTAAACTGCATTTGTAAATGATCATTCTATTCCATATGTAGAAAGGTTTCTTAGTTTTTTGGAAGCTTTGATTTAAAGAGTATTTATTATTTAGTTAATGCAATAAAAACAAATACATAGTTTTTCTCTCCCTAAATATTAATGTTTTGCTTCCTCCCTCCCTTCCTCTCTTTCTTTCTTTCTTAACATTATCTGTTACTTGGTTTTAATTCATTATGTGGGATGAATTAGAACCATGATGACTCAATGGCTAAATTGTCACTTTGCAAGTGCTAGGATCCCATATGGACACCGGTTTGTGTCCTAGCTGCTCCACTTCCCATGCAGCTCCCTGCTTGTGGCCTGGGAAAGCAGTGGAGGATGGCCCAAAGCCTTGGGACCCTGCACTAGCATAGGAGACCTAAGAAGCTCCTGGCTTCAGTTTGGCTCAGCTCTGGCCATTGCAGCCATTTGGGGAATGAGCCAGCGAATGGAAGATCTTTCTGTTTCTCCTTTTCTCCATAAATCTGACTTGCCTTTCCAATTAAAGAATAAAGAATTTTAAATAGATTCATTATGAGATAATACATCTACTATCCCCAGTTTATATGAGCTTGCCACCTAATACTGGATCACTAAAATTGTTTGAAGACATACTTCTTGATAGATTGTGACTGCATCCAGAGTTTTACATTGCCTTTTCTCTGTTTCATGCCATTGCTGTGATCATTATTTCTGGCAGTTAGGTACATTAATTTTCTGGCATGCATAAAAGCCATTTACTTCCAATGTCTTTCCCATTTTTCACTCTGACTTGGCCAGATAGTACAACAAAAGCCATTAACATAGCCTCCTTTAAAAAAACTCATTTTGGAAGGAAAAGACAACTAGCAGTTCAAAGTTTGCTTTGCTTTAAGAAACATTTTTACTCTAGTGTACTTGGGAACTAAGTAACTTCTTGGTTTATTTTTAAAATTTGATTTACTTGAAAGGAGAGAGACAAGGACAAAGAAAAAAGATCCCCCATCAGATTGTTCACTCCCCCCAAATGGCCACAATGGCTACGGCTGGGCCAAGGAGCTAGGAACTCCATCTTGATCTCCCACAGGAGTAGCAAGGGCCCAAGTTCTCAGCCATGTGCTTCCTTCTCAGGCATGCTAACAGGGAG